CTACTACTACTACTACTACTACTACTACTGCTACGATTACTACTACTACTACTACTACTACTACAACTACTACTACTACTGCTACGACCACTACTACCACTACTACTACCACTACTTCTACTACTACTACTACTACAACTACTACTACTACTACCACTACTACTACTACTACTACTACCACTACTACTACTACTACTACTACCACTACTACTACTACTACTACTACTACTACTACGACTACTACATATACTACTACTGCTGCTGCTGATGCTGCTGCTGCGACGACTAGTACTTCTACTACCACTACTAAAACCACCACTACTACTACTACTACTACGACGACTACTACTACTACTACTACGACTACTACGACGATTTAGAATACAGCTGCTACTCCTACTCTTATTACTGGTACTACTACTACTACTACTATTACTACTACCACTACTACTACTACCACCACCACTACTACTACTACTACTACTACTACTACTACGACGACTACTACTACTACGGGTACAAATACTACTACTACTACTACTACTACTACTACTACTACTACTACTACTACTACGACAACTACTACTGCTGCTACTACTACTACTAGTACTACTACTAACTACTACTACTACTACTACTACTACTACTACTACTACTACTACTACTACTACTACTACTACTACGACTACTCCTCCATACTACGACGACGACGAATACGATTACGACGACAGCTACGACTAGTACTAACTACTACTACTACTACTACTACTACTACTACAACTACCAATAAATACTACTACTACTACTACTACGACTACTACTACTAGTACTACTACTACTACTACTACTACTACTACTACTACTACTACTACTACTACTACTACTACTACTACGACTACTACGACTACTACCACTACTACTGCGACGACGACGACGACGACGACGACGACGACGACGACGACGACTACTACTACTACTACTACTACTACTACTATCACGACTGCTACTACTACTGCTACTGCTACTGCTACTTAAACTATTACGACGACGACGACGACGACGACGACGACTACTACTACTACTACTACTACTACGACTACTACTACCACTACTACTACGACTGCTAGTACTACTACTACGGCTACTACTACGACTACTACCACTACGACTACTCCTGCTACGACTACGACTATGACTACGACTACGACTACTACTACGACTACAGATATTCATAATCGTAAAAAGAATAACACTAGCACGACTTCTATTTTGGTATCCACCCTCCTCCAATTCCTCATCCTCCTCGATCCTCCCCTATGCTCATGCCTCCATCCTCCTCCAATCACCATCCCGGTCCTCCTCCACATCCTCCGCTCTTCCTCGTCCTCCTCACCCTCCTGGTCGAAGACTCTCCTTGGCCCCCAAAATCTCCTGATCAACACGAGCATCGCCGCGACAAGGTAGGCGACCTCCGCTCCTCCTCCGTCTCCTCAACCTCCTCAATCTCCTCCTTCGCCTCCTCCTCCTCCTCCTCCTCCTCCTCCTCCGTCGTCGTCGTCGTCCTCATCGCCGCCGCCGCCACTCTCGTCGCCGCGGCGGGGCCTCCGAACGACGAGTTGCCCTCCAGGGCTTTGCGCCGATCCCGCGCAGACAGCAGGTCCCCGATCCTCGTCAGGTGCAGCGTGCCGTCGCTAGCGGCGGACACAAGCGCGGGGACCTCCCAAGGAGGAGAAGGGGCCTCCTCCTCCCCATCCTCTTCCAACGTCTTCTCCTCCATCCCTGTTCTTTCCCTTCCAAATAACCTCTCCCTGCCGCACGTCCAGGCGTGTCGGTAGGGTGGGCCAGGCGGTTCTCTGGAAACTTCTCCACCACTCGTGATCCTGATCCCTGAAGCTTGCAAGAATTTAGCTAGAGGGGGATCGCCTTGGCACCGCGCGCAGTCGTCTTAAAGTCTGAAATGGGTTCACTGATGGAGGGCGATTCCTGATCAAAATGTGGCTCTCGCCTTAGCGCTGCGCGCATTCCTCTACACAAAATACAATTGAATCACGAATGGGAAGGCGTCGTGTTCAAAATGGTGTTATCGACTTAGAGCTGCGCACATGTGTTTCAAAATACTGCAGTCGCTTCACAGACGAAGGGCGATTCCGTTTCAAAGTGGGGCTCTCGCCTTAGCGCCGCGAGCATTCCCCCAAAATATTGCAATAGCTTCCAGAATTGAACAAGTCGGTTTCAAAGTCTGTGTCCCGCCTAAGCGCCGCGAGCATTCGTTAGTTAACGCAGCGCTTCCAACGGATAGAATACAGGTCGTTGCCAAAATAGCGTGAAGGCTTGAGACTTCGCGAAGTGCATAAAGACCCGAATATGCAACGCATGTAGCGCTGCACCATGCTGGCTATGTTTCAAAATGGAGCTGTCGCTTGAAACTTCCTCCATATTCATTACCACAACAATCCGCCACCGTGCCCCGAGGCACGAAGTCGAATGCCCTCAGGTCCTCAAGGGTTGCCTGTTCTCTGTACTCAGGACTGGGGGATTATAGTTTACTATGGGCTCGGGCCCCAAACATCTAAAATGTTCAAGGCGTTCCCGCGCGCTCTGGGGCCTGCCCCACGTGATTTTCCAGAGGCCAGAGGACCCCAAGACGGGCCAAGAGGGCCCCAGAAAGCGCCTAGGAGGGTCGAAGAGGGCTCCAAGACAGCCCAAGAGCACCCCAAGACGCCTAAGATGGCCCCACGACGGCCCAAGAGGCCCCAAAGAAGCCCCCAGAGCACGCCAAGAGGACCGACCCCCAAGAGGGCCCAAAGAAGCAAAGATCATTGATGTTCCTTGTGTGTTTCCATGTTTTTCGCGTTCTCGCGTCTTCGGTCGGGCTTCCGACGCTGCAAGATGGACCCCCCCAAGACGGCCCCCAGAAAGCCCAAGATGCCCCCGAGAGGGCACCAAGACAGCCCAGGAGGGCCCCAAAGCTGCCCAAGAGGCGCCCCAAATCGCCCAAGAAGGCCTCAAGACGGCCTCAAGAGGGGCCCAAGAGGGGGGAACACGAACCGACAATTCGAGCCTTCCGCTCCAAGAGAGGCCCCTAGGGGCTCCCAATAGAGCCCCAGAGAGGCCCCAAGAGGACACCTAACGGACCCCAAGAGGCTTCAAAACTGCCTCCAGGAGGCCCCCGAGAGGCCTCCCACGATATCCAAACGAACATCCAAGAGGCACCGAACCCACAACTCAGGCACGGTGGAGGGATGGGCCGAAGGCCACCAAATGAACTTGTGCAACAGTTACGGTAGGTTCGGGCGACGCTGACGTGCACAAAGGTTTTTGACACCGCGTCGATCGTTCGAACTTGAATCGATCGCTGCCCGCATCGTTCAAGGTTGAATTCAGTCGGGTCAAGTGGCGTGACCCTGACCCTCGGTGCTTCCGCGCCGCAGGATTCGACCTCGAACGCATTCGCTGGCGTCGCCGGCACGCCAACGCCGCACAGACCTACCGTACACAGATGGAGGGGGTTGTCCTTCTTCGAGAGGGGTATACCGCTGGACACCTCGCTGAACTGTACGAGCTTGCGTTTTTGATTACGCGCCAGGAAAGGTGCAAGGCACTTCCTTTCCGAAGCGGGACCCTCGCCAAAATGACAAGCCCAACTGTGATGGTCTTTGAACGGGGCCGCTTCCTGTGGTGAGCAGGAGGACTTGTAGGGGCGTGAGAGGGCGGGGGACTTGGGACCGGAAGGCGTCTTGCCGCACTGTTTGTGCATATTTCGTTTACTCTGATCTTCCTCCTCCTCCTCCTCCTCCTCCTCCGCCATTTATCGTCCTCCTCCTCCTCCTCCTCCTCCTCCTCCTCCTCCTCCTCCTCCTCCTCCTCCTCCTCCAACTCCTCCAACTCCAACTCCAACTCCTCCTCCTCCTCCTCCTCCTCCTCCTCCTCCTCCTCCTCCTCCTCCTCCTCCTCCTCCTGCTCCTCCTCCTCCTCCTCCTCCTGCTCCTCCTCCCGCGATGGGCCCTGCGGGGATAGCGCCCGGGGTGCAGCAAGAGGCCGGGATAGTCGGGAGGGATGATAGGCAGCGCAGGGCAGCCAGCCGCGGCAGACAGTGCGGTGTAAGCGAGGCGATCCCTGTATATGCGAGAACTGGGAGGTTTGGGCCCTGCTGCGCGCTCGCTTTGTCGTGATCGTGTTGCGGATATCCTCATTTTCCCCTAGACCCACGTTCCTTTGACGGGCTCTCACGAGTCGTCGGCCTCGGACCAAGTTGGCTTGCGCGACCTTGAGGGTGCGAAGGACCAGCCAGGCATCGACTTTCGGGACATGGTGGCCATGCAGTTGCGAGCCCGTCGCCAGTCGCTGTTGATTGTAGGCGTGTATGTGACGTCGTCTGTGGGGCCCAAGGCGAACGCTCCTAAATTGGCCAATGTGGGCACCCTGGTCTCTACTATCCAAGGGCCGTGGCTGGCCATCGGCGACTGGAACATGACGCCGAAAGATTTGGCGGGCACGGGCTGGCTATCATTGGTGAATGGATCCGTCGTTGCACCGTCCTACACGCAGTACACGTGCACCTTGGGATCAGGGAGAATGTTGGATTACATAGTAGTCTCTCAGCACGCCTTACCTTGGGCTGAGGAGCTGGCGGCAGATTTTCGTGCAGTGGAGGAGGCGGGGAAGGCTCACTACGGGCTAAAGCTCACTCTCAATTTTGAAGCCAGTCGGGCCAGGGCTTGGCTCATGAGGGCCTCGATATTTCGGCCTGATCCCCTATCCTGCGAGGCCCAAGATTGCCAATGATCCTGATAGCAAGTGGTCTCGGGTTCGCGCTGAAGCCGCGTCTTGGCGAGAGGCGCGGCCGCAGCCTCCAATCACGCCGGCCCCGGCGTCCTGGGGCCCCAGGTGCAAGCTTGTTGTCAAGAGCCCGCCGCCCTTGCAGCATCCCCTGCTTGGCGAGGATGTGGTCCAGTTCTTCACAGGTGTGGAGGACACGGACGTCCCTGATGAGAATGATGATGCGCAGGTGGTCGTCTCGGACTCTGATGTGGACACGCATGCTTCTATCCAGGCGGAGTGGTCTTCGGAGGCGAAGGATCTGTTGTGGCAGCAGGTGGCGCCCGCGGTTCTGGAGCCTCTGATTCCTGATTTGGTTCAGCACTCCTTGGCTTTCCAGGCGGCTGACAGCGAAGCCCATGAGTTGGGTGCTGTGTTCGCATCGTGGGTTTCGACCATGCAGTTGTATTACTTAGAGTTGTATCAGGACCACCCTATGGCGAGGAAGCAGCATCGTCGTCGTTCGCATCTTCGCGGGCCGCAGTTGGGAATTTACGATGGCAACAAGCCGCATCCGACGGCGGCTGATCCAAGTGCTCGGTGGCGGGGTAATGTGGCTAACTTGCTCGACGAGCTGGTGGGCCAGAAGGATGTGAAACGAGACCTGCCTAGAGCACGACACCTTCGCGATCAACTTGCAGCTGGCTGGTGCTATTCCCTCGTCGCAGATTGTGCCTTGCCAACTCGCAGGCGCGATCGTTGGCTTAGGGGTCTTCGGACTCTTGAGGACGCTTCGCAGGAGTCGGTCAAGGCTTTTGCGGAGGGAGCGCGCAGGGCTTCCGAGCAGGCCCAGCGCGCCGATGCTCGGCAGAGGCACCAATCTTTTCGTGCTTGGGTTCATCAGCAGGTCGTCCTTGGACGTGGAGTCCCTCATCGGTTCGTTCGGGATCCCACGGCCGAGGTGAGTGAGATGCGAGCTGGAGGCGTGACCTCGCGTGACGCGGCCTCGGTGATGGAGGCCAAGGCAGAGGCGTAGGCTTCGCTGTGGTCGCCGCAGGGCTTCGACGACCAGCAGGCGCTCGGGGTGCTGGCCCGCGCCCGCAGCCTGGCTCACCAAGGGCCGCTGGATGCCCTCACGCTGGACCAGCTGGAGGCGGCTTTGCGCTGTATGCCGCCGCGCAAGGCTCGCGGTGTTGAGGCGGTCGGCCAGAGGGACGCGCGGTGGCTGCCTGAGTCGGGCCGCCGTGCGCTGCTCGCTCTTTTTCACAATGTCGAATCGAAGGTCGCGTGGCCTTGGCAGTGGCTCACTGCGACACTAGTGCTGCCTCGCAAGCCTGATGTGCGTCAGGATCGAGCCACGGGATTGCTCGCCTGGTTGGGCCGTTTGTGGGGCCGCATGCGGTCTCGGCCCGCGGAGGCGCGGGCCGCTGCTCACTCTGGCCCTTGGGGCGCGGCGGTCCGAGGTAACAGCGCTCCACGAGAGGCTCTGCTCAGGTGTCTCGCTGCTGAGGCGTCTCTAGCCTCACAGTTGCCCGAATGCTGGCCTGCGTCAGTTCTGCGGGACGCGGCCGCGCTCTGCGACGCGACTCGACGGGGGAGAGGCGTGGCTCGCGCCATGGATTTGGACTTCCCGCCGCACCCCCTGGGCCCCGGAAGGGGTCCTCCACGCGGGGCCTCGGTTGCTGCGGGGCGAGGGGGCCTAGGCCCCTCCCGCCCAACAACCTCACGGGGGGGCTCGTTGCGGGCGCTCGCAGGGCCCCCGACTTCTCGAGGTGTCAGATGTTTGAAGTTTGCGAGCGCTCGCGCGCCAGCAGTGCTCTCGTGTCGATTCGCACGTGGATTGATGATGTCAATCAGCGCGCGGAAGGATTGAAGCGGGATGCCATTCGCGAATTAGTCCATGCCGGGGCTGTTTTTGCTTCGGGGTGCGCTCGCGAGCAGCTTAAGATTGCCAGTAAGTCTACTATCGTGGCGTCTGGGCTCGCGGAGGCGCGCGCTATCCAAGCTGGTCTGGGAATGGAAGGCACCCAGGTCGAGGTGGCCTCAATTGCAGCGGATCTAGGCATCGAGAGGGGCAGCGGCGTAGCTGGCGCCAAGCCTCGTCAATCCAAGCGTCTCAGTCAGGCTCAGCGTCGGGCCCATCGAATTAATAAGCTGGCCGCCGTTGCTCATCGTAAGATCGGGGCGCGTCTGTTCCTCACTGGGGCTTTGCCGCTGGCGCCCTACGCCCCGAAGGTCATTGGGGTCGCGCCCTCGGTCCTCCAAAGGTGGCGACAGGCATTGGCCGGCACTTTCACTCGTGGCACAGCAGGGCGATGTCTCACGACCCTGCTGGCCTTGGAAGTGTGGAAAAAGGACCCTGCGTTCACCGCTGTGTTTCAGCTGCTGGAGTCCTGGTTCCAGATCGCGGCCTCGGTGCCTGAAAAAAAAAGGTCGGCTCGCATGCGCGCCTGTTGGATATCCACGGTTGAGAGGATCGATAGCCTAGGCCCCCAGCGCAGGTGGCACAATACTAAAGGACCAGTCTCTGCTGTGGTTGCCACTATGACGGCCCTGGGATGGAAGCTCGAGGGGCCCTGGTCTTGCATTGCTCCTGGGGGTGATGTCTTCGCCGTGCCTGATGAGCTTCGTTCCCAGGCTTGTACGGCGTCTGATTTAAAAAAGGAGTTGGACCGCAACATCGAGAATCATGTGTGGTCTGCTGCCGCCGAGTTCCGCAATGCGGGGGGGTCTCGCAGCAGGCGTCGACCTCGCGGCCCCGCGGCGGCACCTTGCGTCCCTGCGGAAGAAGTCGGCCCAGCAGTGGGGCTTGCTTCGGTCTGTGCTGACTGGGGCGGTTTGGACGCGGTCCCGAATCCTAGCGCGTGGAGGTGAGTGCGAGCTCACCTGTCCTCGTTGCGGGTTGGCCCCTTGAAACTGATATCCCTCGTTTTTGCGAATGCCCCTGCAATGTGGAATATCAGGAAATTACGGAAGCGTTTGCACGGAAAGGCGCATCCGTGGCAGCCGAGCTTTCTTGTTTTTTGGCGTCGCGGTCTCGTGCCCCGATCATGGACCCATGTCCCCCCCCCCCCCCCCCTCCCGACGACCCACTCCTCCCGGCCGCTGGCGCGTGTCCTGGCTCAGGCGGCGGCACTCGCATCTTGGGCGCTGGGGTCGCGAGTGGTGGGGAGTTCTCGAGAGACAAACGTCTGAGGAAGGTGTCATGGGGCGTCGCGGTCTTTGGCCATGATGTGTTAACCCTGCCCCACGAAGCGTCAGTGTCTGATGCGGACATTCTGTATGCACAGGGGGCGGGATCTTTGGCAAGCAGTCTGTCAATCGCGGGGCATTGCGGGCGCTGCTGGCATTCCTCGAAAAGGCCCCTGCGCAAGCCAAGTTGGGGCATGTCGCGGACTCGGCCTATGTTGCCCGAGGTTTCGCTCGAATCCAGGCTGGCCTCCAAGAGCGAATTCGGACCCGTGCTGACCTCTGGGGCCGTGTCAAGAGCGCTCTGGACAGGTGTGGTGACGTGGTTCTCATTCAAATTCCGAATCACCTTCAGGTTGAGGAGGCCGTTCGTAGGGACCTTAACCCTAGTGTTGTGATGGCGAATGCGGTGGCCGACGCTGTGGCTGGCCACTTTTCGAAGCAGGCTCAGATTCCCTATGCAGTGTCTGTTCCTGTCCGATTCGCGGATGGGCTGGCTCAGAAAGCGCAGAATCCTTCAGTCGCCGTGATGTCGGATGTGTTGGAGCGAGAGGGTAGACGCCCTCTTCGACCTCTCAAGGTAAAGGTGAGGAGATCGGCCCGTCAGCTCTGGCGCTCTGCTGCGTTGAAGACTTCCCATCAGTGCCTTATGTTGTGTGGAGACTTCGCGCAGTGTCAGCAGCGCGGTTGCTCTTCGAGCGCACGAGATGTGACTGCTTTCTTGAATTCGCCCTGCACTCCCATGGTCTGGTCTGGATCGGTCGTTCGTCCGACGGCTGCGGTGCGTCCGAAGTTGTGCTGCGGACCCGTCCCATGCGTTGGCCTACTGGCCTGAGGCTAATGTTTTGTGGTGCTTCCCAAGGCAAGGTGCCTGGGAGAATTGTCTCGGGGAGGGAGCGGAAGGAGCGGGCTTTTGCGAGGGGGGTGGAGGGAGCGAGAGCGGCGAGCGCGGCTCCGCGCGCGCGACGCGTGGCTCCGTTGGACGACCACGGCTCGGCCGGTGGCGTCATCAGGCGCCGCCTAGCCTCTCTTCCCCGCCGCGCCCGCCTCCGCCTCCCCTCGTCCCACAGCCAGCCCAGGTGGCGTAGGTGGTCGGTCGTGCGCCACCCTGGGCTGGCCCTGGCTACCAGTACGGATCACGATGACCGCTCCCTATATATCTATATATATATATATAGATATACACTCCTCCTCCACCTCCTCCTTCTCCTCCTCTCCCTCCTCCTCCTCCTCCTGCTCCTCCTCCTCCTCCTCCTCCTCCTCCTCCTCCTCCTCCTCCTCCTCCTCCTCCTCTTCTTCGCTCTCACTACGCCCGCGTTCGAGCCATTGACTGGGAGGGACGGGTGGGAGTTCGTTGGCGTGGTGCGGGATGGGTTGCCATCGTGGGAAGGAGCCCGTAACGCTGAGGGCGAGTTGTTTCTTTTTGGCGACGGGTCTGGCGGCGCCTTTTCCGACGACGTCAGACGAAGACGTGTTGGTTCTGGCCTCGCGGCCCTCCGATGGGACTCTCCCTCGGCCTCCTGGGCCCTCCATGCTGGCCTCCTCGCCCCCCTCCCAGGCCCCCGCCAGACTGTCCCAAGAGGCGAATTGCATGCGTTTTGCCTGGCTCTCGAGACGTGCCAGCAGGATTTCACGTTTGTCACTGATCACCTAGCCCTACAGCGCGGCTGGCAGAATGGCAGATGTCTCCGACCTGGCAGCCTCAGAGGCAAGAGTAAGAATGGGGATCTCTGGCTGAGAATTCGGCACCTCGTGCAGGATCGATCTGGCGGCTGTTCTTCGGTCTCGGTGCTCTGGACCCCATCTCACGCCGATCCCCTCACTTTGAATGGTTTCCAAAAATTTGTGGCTCTCGGCAACCAGCATGCCGATGAGCTCGCGGGAAGCGCGGCCCACAAGTCGGCCACCCTTGCCCTCCCGCCTGTCCCCAGGACTGATGAATATGACGCTATTGCAGCCATCGTCCGACAGAGGGCCCGACTGATCTTACGTTCCTTAGGCAAGAATTCAGAGCCTCGAGGACAGTGGCCAGAAAGGCATCCCACCCAGGTGGCAGCCCCTCGCTCTCAGTTGCAGACCGCGATCGCGGCTTCTCAGCACAAATTCGAGCGGTGTGCAGACAAATGGAGATGCCCTGCCTGCCTCATCATCGTTGACGCGTGCCACGTTATTCCAGCTGCCGCCACTGAGTGTGCGCCGCCTTGCCCCCTTCCCGAGTTCGCTGCGTGTGGAGAGGTGCTGTGGTCGAGGGGTCCCCGCGTGATCAGTGGCAAGTTGATCCGCCCCTCCCACTTTTTGGCCACCATCCCCAAGTGGCAGTTGTTCTTTTGTGTGAAGTGCGGCCATACGGCCACGCACCAGGTTAAAAGCCTCCTTTTGCCGTGCCCTCTCTCCCACCAAGTTGGAGAGCGCAGGGCCCTGGGACCCACTGGCAAAGGCCTCGAGTACCTCAGCAGGATCAGGCGAGGCCTCCACCCGTCCAGAGCGGGTCCCAGCAAGGCTGTGCTAGAAGCTTTGCACGTTTCGGCAGCCGAAGCCGCGATCGGTTCCTTCGCGGCGGGTGCTGCCACCGAGTAAATTGCGAGGCCAGGGGGGCCTGTCGCGGTGGGCCGTGGGATGTCGCCCCCCACGGCCCCCCGAGAAATACTGGATGGCCCCCCTGGCATCCCTGGGTTCCGAACGGACTACGTCCGATTGCTCCACTCCACTCCTCCTCCTCTTCTTGTTATTATTATTAGTATTAGTATCATTCCTCTTCTTATTCTTATTATTATGCTTCGTATTATTATTCGTAGTAGGGGTATTATTATTCGTCTTCTTCTTATTAATATTCTTAATAAAAATAATAATATTATTATTAGTGTTGTTATTATTATTATGATTAGTATTATTATTCGCAGTGTTATTATTTTTCTTTTCCTGATTAATATAATTATTATTGACCTTCTCATTATTATTCGTAGTATTATTATTATTATTATTATTCGTCTTCTTATTATTCTTCTTATTCCTCTTCTTCTTCCTCCTCCTCCTCATCCTCCTCCTCCGCCTCCTCCTCCTCCTCCTCCTCCTCCTCCGCCTCCGCCTCCGCCTCCTCCTCCTCCTCCTCCTCCTCCTCCTCCTCCTCCTCCTCCTCCTCCCCCTCCTCCCGCCGAGCTCGCGGCGAGGCGGCCCCACCCCCCACCCCCTGCGGGCCGCGGGCACGAAGGCCACGGCGTTCACCTGCTGCTTGTGCGCCTGCCACTGCGCCTCGGCGCCGCGGCTGCGCGAGCCGCCGCCACCGCACGACGACGACGAGCACGACGATCACGACGACGACGACGACGACGACGAGCACGACGAGCACGACGACGACAACGACGAGCACAACGATGACAACGAGCACAACGACGCCGAGCGGAACGACGACGACGACGACGACGACGGCGACGAAGACGTCTGCGGCGGCGGCGGCCAGTCGACGGCCGACGGTCGACGGTCGACGGGTAGCAAACGGCGCCGACGACGGCGACGACGACGACGACGACGACGACGACGACCGATGCGGCAACGACGATGGCATCGACAATCAACGCAAGGACGGCGGACAGCGGCGCGACGAGGGCGACAGCGACGACGACAGCTGAGACGATAGCGACGACGACAGCGACGACGGACAACGACGTCGTCAGCTACGACGACAGCGACGACGGACAGCGACGACGACAGCGACAACAGGGTGGCGCCGACTAACGGCGGGGACGAAGATGCCTGAAGACGGCCCGCGGCGGAGGCGACGGCGAGGATGACGAGGACGACGCAGACGGCTACGGTGGCGACGACGAGCACGAAGAAGACGACGAGGACACCAACCAAAACAACGGCGAGGACGACGACGCCTGCGACCGCCCCACGGCGGCGAGGGGGGCGGGGCGCACACCCTGAGCCCCCGACGGTGGGCGACCGGCCGCGACGGCGCCCACGATCGCAGCTGGCGAGCCGAGACCACGGCGGCTCAAGACCTGCCCCTGGACCCCTCCCGGGGTCCAAACGCACCAGTCTCCCGAGCTGCGCCCAGACGCGGCGACGCTGGGGCCCCTGAAGGCCATCTGTCGTCGTCTCAACGGGCCCGCAAGGCAAGGCAAGCACCGCACAAGAACCACGAGCGACCCAGGCGCCTCGGTGCACGAGGCACCGAAACTGAGGAAGGGCCCACCGTGAAGGATCGGTCAGCGGCACACGCGGAGCGGTACCGCAGCCCCCCTGAGCACGGGCCCTCCCGGAGCCACTGCCAGACAAATCGGGTTTGCACACTCGGGCCTTGCAGCGCTCCCGGTGCGTGTCGGCACCCTCTCTCACAAACTCGTCAGGGCCACCGACAAGGGAGAGGGCGGCGGTGGCCGACGCATCCCCAGTCCTTGAGGCGACGAGGCGGCGAGGGCTTCTTGGGTCGGCGCTGGCCGCCCCCTCCCGGGCGCGCGGGACGCCGCCTGTGGGGGACCCGAGCGCCGACCCAAGAAATCCGCACGGCGCTCCGAAAGTTTGTGTCGAGGCCCAGATATCTTCTCCGAGTGGCCGAGGAGGAGGAGGAGGAGGAGGAGGAGGAGGAGGAGGAGGAGGAGGAGGGAGGAGGAGCCTCGCGTGAAGCGAACGGCACCGCACATAGGTCACGCCTCCTGCAGGAGCCCGTGCGTCGGCCGTAGCACGACCCGCAAAGACCTCCGCAAGTCAGCATCCAGCTGGAAAAGGTCGCCTGACCGCTAGCCGCACCACGGCCCGCGGCAAGCAATAGAACAACACACACTCTGCCGCCGTACGGCTCCTCATTGAGCAGCTTGTCGAGGACTGGACCCCGCAACTCAGCGGGGGTGCCGCTTAGCCCCTTCCGCGCCGCCCTTTGGACCTTCAGCCTGGCGCCTACCGAGGCCCCAACCGAGAGGGCGCAACCCCACTTCTGTGCGAGGGCCTCCTCCTTCTTCTTGGCAGACACCCGAGCCGGCTTGCACTGCTACACCTTGAAGCCCTCCTCCGACGGCTCCTGTGTGTACGTGACCTCGTGCCCGCCGTCGCCGTCGCCGACGAAGGCCTCGTACGCGCCCTGGGTCGCCACCGCGTGCTCCAGATGGGCCTCCATCTCCTCCGCGTCGCAGGTCTCGCGACCCAAAACTGCGGCGCCTCCAGCACCTTGATCTTGAACGACATGCCGCCGCCACGCCGCGAAGGCCTTGTCGATCAAGTATTCGTCCTTCTCCGAGTAGCCGCTGCCCGAGTCACCAGCGCACGCGGCGGGCGTAGCAGGGCCGAGCTCACCAGGCTCAGCGTGGGCGAGGGGCACACCAGGCTCCTCAAAGGTAGTGTTCACCTCCTCCTCCGCTTCTCCTTCTGGCCGTAGGCGTTCCACCCTGGATCGAGATGGAGCGCGATTCCTCCGACCGCGATCGCTCCTGCCTGGAGGCCCATGGCGCCGTCGGAAACCTGTCTTACCTCTTCTTGGCCTTGATGCCCAGGCCGCACTCGGTCTTCATTAGGTCCCGACGGATGGACTCCGAACGTGCGCGGGAGGAGGAGGAGGAGGAGGAGAAGGAGGAGGGGGAGGAGGAGGGGAAGGAGGAGGAGGAGGAGGAATAGGAGGAGGAGGAGGAGGAGGAGGACGACGAGGGGGAGGAGGAGAGGAGGAGGAGGAGGAGGAGGAGGAGGAGGGGAGGGGAGGAGGAGGAGGGGAGGAGGAGGAGGAGGAGGGGGAATGGAGGAGGAGGAGGAGGAAGAGGAGGAGGAAGAGGACCCCGAGCCAGCCCGTCGGCCGCCGCGCCTCGGGCTTCCCGCACGCGGAGGAGAGGTCCCACAGGGACACCTGGCCGCTGGCGGAGCACGAGGCCGCCACGTCGCCGTCCTCTCGGACCGCCCGGCAGCTTGGCGGCAGGACCTCCTCCTCCTCCTCCTCCTCCTCCCTCCTCCTCCTCCTCCTCCCTCCTTCTCCTCCGCCTCCTCCTCCTCCTCCTCTGTCGCCTACTCCTCCTCCTCCTCCTCATCATCATCCTCCTCCGCCTCCCGCCTCCTCTCCTCCTCATCCTCTCTCCTCCTCCTCCTCCGCCTCCGCCTCCTCCTCCTCCGCCTCCTCCGCCCCCTCCTCCTTCTTCATCATCATCTTCTTCGTCTGAACACGAGTGGTATTAGTTTTTGTATTGGTTTCATTCGTATACGTATTGATCGTAGTACTATTCGCAGTATTGATTGCAGTGTGAGTATTGCTCGTACCGTTGCTCGTATGCGTGTTGTTCGTGTGCGTTGTCTTCCCAGTCTTATGAATAGTAACCGTATTCGTATCCTGAGTCGCAGCAGCCTTCTTCTTAGTAATATCACGATTATTATTACTCATAGTAGTGTTAGTCTTTGTTCATGTGATGTTTCGTAGTAGTATGTTTCTTCCTCCTCCTCCTCCCCCATTCCTCTTCCATTTCCCAGTCCAGTACTACTACATTCCTCCTCAATTGCTTCCCCATTCCTCCTCCAATCCTTCTTCATTCCTCCTCAGATCCTCCTCCATTCCGCCTCCATTTCCCCTCCATTCCTCTTCAATTCCTCCTCCACTCCTTCTCCATTCCTCCTCCATTCCTGCGTCTGTTGCTCCTCCTCCTCCTCCTCCTCCAGTCCTCCTCCTCCGTCTCTTCGTCGTATGTGTCTTCCTCTCGTAATGATAAGTCTTAGACTTATAGATCTGACAAATAAGATGTGTCTTCTTATCAGTCTGATGTGCTTGCTGACCTCATGGTTCGTAACATGTGTATTATCCCTCGTGACAGTATGCTCCGTACTGCTTTTCTTAGCGTTGACACGGATGTGATTATGTGTGTTCAGGTTCGTCCGTCATGCCGTATTGTGGTTGGCCTTGTCACTGTACGAATTGCCTGATCAATAGTATGAGCAGTACAAACATCAGAAGTAGCAGTAGAAGTCGTAGTAGTAGTAGTAGTAGTAGTAGTAGTAGTAATAGTAGTGGTGGTGGTCGCAGTAAGAGTAGCAATCGTAGTCGTACTCGTAGTTGTAGTCGTAGCCGTAGTAGTAGCAGCAGCAGCAGCAGCAGCAGCAGCAGAAGCAGCAGCAGCAGCAGCAGCAGCAGGAGTAGTAGTAGTAGTAGTAGTAGCAGCAGCAGCAGCAGCAGCAGCAGTAGTAGTAGTAGTAGTAGTAGTAGTAGTAGTAGTAGTAGAGTAGTAGTAGTAGTAGTAGTAGTAGTAGTAGTAGTAGTAGTAGTAGTAGTAGTAGTAGTAGTAGTAGTAGTAAGTAGTAGTAAGTAGTAGTAGTAGTAGTAGTAGTAGTAGTAGTCGTAGTAGTAGTAGTAGTAGCAGTAGTAGTACGAGTACTAGTACTAGTACCAGTACCAGTACCAGTATCAGTAGTAGTAGTAGCAGTAGTAATCGTAGTAGTAGTAGTAATAGTAGTAGTAGTGGTAGTAGTAGTAGAAGTAGTAGTAGTAGTAGGAGTAAACAGTAGTAGTAGTAGTATAAAAATAGAAGTAGTAGTAGTAGTAGTAGTAGTAGTAGTTGTTGTTGTTGTAGTTGTAGTTGTAGTTGTAATCGTAGCGCTAGTAGTAGTAGTAGTAGTAGCAGCAGTAGTAGTAGTAGTACTACTACTACTACTACTACTACTACTAGTACTGCTGCTGCTACTACTACTACTACGACTACTACTACTACTACGACTACTACTACTACTACTACTACTACTACTACATCGGCCCAATGAAAGTTCCTGGAATTTTCATCACGACGCTGGCCGGCGGAAATCGACGGAAGTAAAACGAGGCGGAAGACGGGGGAAGGCCGCCGGAAGGCTTGCCAATGTCAGCGGAAGTAAACGACGCCCCTTCCGAACCCCCTACCCCCGTAGAAGCCTAGCAATGTTGTCTTCCTCAGTGGGCCGGGCGGGATCCCGCCTGGCTTATTCCGCTTTAGTATTAGAAGTTTAGTTCAGGACGATCAAAATCCCACCCATTAAAAATGGGGTAGAGTAAAATCCCGGGCCGTTCACGGATCCCACCATGCTGGGATCGGCTCGAAGTAAGATGGGGCTCATAAGTTGCAGGATTATTGCCGTGTTGGGGTCGTCTTGAGGTCATCTTGAGATCATATCCCGGTCATGTTTGGATCACGCAACCATCGGGTGGTCATTGAGAGGCCACCCTGGGCGCGCTTGGATCGATCTTGTTGCCATCGGGCCATCTCGGCGTCACGCGTTGCTCATGTGTTTCGTCATCTGCGAATCGGCCTGAGACGGTCCAGAATCCATGGAGGGATCGCGTTGGGGTGGCATCATCCTGGGTCCGGTGGACGTTATCGTCCGTGGCCTGAGGCATTCCCGCAAGCATGTTGTGGCCATGGGACGTCTTGGGATCGCGTGCGTGCGAACGCTGAGCACGCGCGCGCGACTTTTCATCTTGCCGACGGGTTTACATACATATTATTCCTCTTGCGAATTTCCAAGGAAACTTTTGTTGGAGCCAAGTAGTAGTAGTAGTAGTAGTAGCAGCAGCAGCAGCAGCAGCAGCAGTAGTAGTAGTAGTAGTAGTAGCAGTAGTAGTAGTAGTAGTAGTAGTAGTAGTAGTAGTAGTAGTAGTGGTAGTAGTAGTAGTAGTGGTAGTTGTTGTTGTTGTAGTTGTAGTAGTATCATTGTCATCAGTATTATTGATATCGTTATTACTATTATTATTCCTAGTCATATTCCTCCTCCTCCTCCTTCTCAGCGTCCTCCTCCCCCTCCTGGTCCTCCTCCTCCTCCTTCTCCTCCTCCCCCTCCTGGTCCTCCTCCTCCTCCTGCTGCTCCTCCTCCTCCTCCTCCTCCTCCTCCTCCCCTCCCTCCTCGTCCTCCTCCTCCTCCTCCCCCTCCTTCGTTCCTCCCCCAGTCTTTGTTCATTATAGATAACTCCTCCGGGCCGCACCCCAAAGCTGGTCGAAAGGGCAGGCCAGGAGTTTCGCCCGAGACTTCCTCACCACTCATGATCCTGAAACTGAAAAGTTACAGCGTACTCCTGCAGGGCAATTCCATCAGTGGAATAAACCCTTGTAGGGGTCCATGAAGTGAGTGCTTGGAGGGAGGGTGCATTTCAGCATCGGTGATGAGTCTTGTACACTGGTCGTCCTCCACCTCCTCCTGCTCCTCCTTTTCCTCTATCATTCCTCCTCCTCCTCCTCCTCCTCCTCCTCCTCCTCCTCCTCATGAACAACTCCTCCCTATCGCTCCCACAGACGAATCCGTGGGCCGGGCCAGGCGGTTCGCCGGAGACTTCCTCACCATTTCCGATCCCGAAATTTGAAACTTGCAACGGTTTCAAAGATGAAGGGCGGGCAGTCTTCAAAATGAAGCTCTCGCCCAAGCACTGCGAACATTTGCCGTAGAAGTCCGCAAACGCTTTAAGGATGGAGGACCATTCCTGTGCAACATGTGGCCCTGCCCTAGCATCGCGTGCAAACGCGGTACCTGGAACAACATCCTGGCACGATTCAGGTGTCAGAACGCAAGAATCACGTTGAATTGTGGCGTCAAGTGGGGGCTATGCTTTGATTCAATCTGAGGTTCTCGAAGAAGTTCGAAAATTGAGGGGCACCCGAATCCTAGGAACTTTGGATGTAAAACAGTTTCGTTAAGACCTTCTCCTGGTCCTGGCGAGGCCTCTCTCTCTTTTCTGGAAGCTGGGGTGGACCGGATTCTCAGCCAGAACTGTGTTTTTGCCGCCCCCGACACCACCAAAAACCTCCGTCGCGATTGCTCCATCACCCCCTCCTCTTCCTCCCACCCTCTGATTCTTCCTGATGGCTGAAAATTCGTCGATCGCAGCCCTCCCCCCCAGGGCTGGCCAACCCTCTCCTCCTCCACCTCCACACCCGACTCCGTCTTATTAATATTGTCATGTAGTCTTATGGTTAGTATCATTGCTATGTATGTGATGATCCGTCTTTTAATTAGTTGTCTTCTATTATTACCAGAGTTCAACGTGTTAATCCTCTTAGTAGTACTATCATTACTCATATTGTTCGTTGGCTTCGTATTAGTATTGTTGTTAGTACTGTTCGCTGTATTAGTGTTGCTATCTCTATTCGCATTATTCGTGTTTGTCTTCTTCCTCTTGCTCCTCCTCCTCCGCCTCCTCCTCCGCCTCCGCCTCCTCTTCCTCATCCTCCTCCTCCACATCCCCTCATTCTCCTGATCCTCCCTTCTCCTTCGACTTCTCATCCACATCCTCATCATCCCACCCTCAACCTATTCCATCACCCCCCCCCTCCTCCTCATCCCCCCTTCCCCATACTTCCCGCCCCCAACGCCCCCGAGCCCCGGGCGTCCGGGTGGAAGCAGACGCCCGTGCACTTCAGCCCGTGCCCGAAGGCGGACGAGGGCTGCTTCCGGCGGTTGTCGCGCAGCTGCCTGGCCGCACAGGTCCACTAGATGTCCTCCTCCCCCTCCTCCTGCTCCTCCACAAACCTCCTCCTCCTCCTCCTCCTCCTTCACCACCTCCTCCTCCTCCTCTTCCTCCTGGTCCTCCTCCTGGACATCAAATCAAGTTCCTCCTCCTCCTTCTCATCCTCCTCCTTCTCTTCTCCTCTACCGCGTCCTGCTCCTCTGACTCCTGCTGCCGATGATCCCCTTCCCGTTCCTGCTCGTCGTCCTCCCCCTCCTCCTCGTCTTCGTCCTCGTCCTCGTCCATGCGCCGCCCAGCGCGGAGCCAAGAAATCCGCGCGGAGCGCCAAAAGTGCACGCTCATGCCGTTTTCGACGCGAGCATGCCTGGGGAATCCTCCGACCGCGATCCCCGAACACCCAGCGGCGGCGGTGACCTGAAGAGCGGGTGCTGTATACAGGCCGGGAGAGAGGGGGCGAGGGGCAGGCTTCGGCGCCTGACGCAGAAGCCGAACCCGGGCACGGCCGCCTCCCCGCTCCTGCCGGCCAGCGCTGGCCGCCGGGGTGTCCCCTCCTCGCTTCCTCCGCCTCCCTCCTCCTCCTCCTCCTCCTCCTCCTCCTCCTCCTCCCCCCTCCCCCTCCCTCCTGCCTCCCTCCCTCCCTCCCTCCCTCCCTCCCTCCCTCCCTCTCCCTCCCTCCCTCCCCCTCCTCCTCCTCCTCCTCCTCATCCTCCTCCTCCTCCTCCTCCTCCTCCTCCTCCTCCTCCTCCTCCTTCTCATCCTTATCATCCTTCTCCTCCTCCTCCTCCTCCTTATTATTATTATGATGGTTCTTCTTCTTAGTACTATTATTATTCGTAATCTTATTCTTAGTAGTATCATTATTCGTCTCATTATTATTCTTAATATTAGTATTATTATTCTTATTCTTATTATATTACTAGTATTATTATTAGTAGTAGTATTATTATTATGATTATTATTAGTAGTAGTAGTAGTAATAGTATTATTAGTAGTAGTAGTAGTAGTAGTAGTAGTAGTAGTAGTCGTCGTCGTATTACTAGTATTATTCTGCATGTTGTTATTATTCTTCTTAGTATTAGTAGTATACGTATTGTTCTTAGCATTCGTCGTCGTAGTAGTAGTATTATTATTATTAGTAGTATTATTACTAGTACGATTACTATTACTATTACTAGTATTCTTATTCTTATTCATATTATTATTCGTATTATTCATATTAGTTTGAGGGAATTTCTGTGGAACTCACGTCATCCTCACCCCCGGCGCGAAGAGCACGAGTCCAGAGCGGCCTCCGGTACCGTTTCCGGACGGATCCGCTGGATCCGCTGGATCCGGTGACGAATCCCAAACCGGCGCCCTCGCTTGAGACATCCTCGCAAAACCGGCCCCGGGGGAGGTGCCCAGAGGAGCCCAGAGCGGCCTCCGGCACCGTTTCCGGACGGATCCGCTGGATCCGCTGGATCCGCTGGATCCGGTGACGAATCCCAAACCGGCGCCCTCGCGTGAGACATCCTCACAAAACGGGCCCCGGGGGGGATGCCCAGAGGAGCCCAGAGCGGCCTCCGGCACCGTTTCCGGACGGATCCGCTGGATCCGCTGGGTCCGGTGACGAATCCCAATCCGGCGCCCTCGCCTGAGACATCCTCACAAAACGGGCCCCGGGGGGGATGCCCAGAGGAGCCCAGAGCGGCTTCCGGCACCGTTTCCGGACGGATCCGCTGGATCCGCTGGATCCGGTGACGAATCCCAAACCGGCGCCCTCGCCTGAGACATCCTCACAAAACGGGCCCCGGGGGGGATGCCCAGAGGAGCCCAGAGCGGCCTCCGGCACCGTTTCTGGACGGATCCGCTGGATCCGCTGGATCCGGTGACGAATCCCAAACCGGCGCCCTCGCCTGAGACATCCTCACAAAACGGGCCCCGGGGGGGATGCCCAGAGGAGCCCAGAGCGGCCTCCGGCACCGTTTCCGGACTGATCCGCTGGATCCGCTGGATCCGCTGGATCCGGTGACGAATCCCAAACCGGCGCCCTCGCCTGAGACATCCTCACAAAACGGGCCCCGGGGGGGATGCCCAGAGGAGCCCAGAGCGGCCTGCGGCACCGTTTCCGGACGGATCCGCTGGATCCGCTGGATCCGCTGGATCCGGTGACGAATCCCAAACCGGCGCCCTCGCCTGAGACATCCTCACAAAACGGGCCCCGGGGGGGATGCCCAGAGGAGCCCAGAGCGGCCTCCGGCACCGTTTCCGGACGGATCCGCGGGATCCGCTGGATCCGGTGACGAATCCCAAACCGGCGCCCTCGCCTGAGACATCCTCACAAAACGGGCCCCGGGGGGGATGCCCAGAGGAGCCCAGAGCGGCCTCCGGCACCGTTTCCGGACAGATCCGCTGGATCCGCCGACGAATCCCAAACCGGCGCCCTCGCCTGAGACATCCTCACAAAACCGGCCCCGGGGGAGGTGCCCAGAGGAGCCCAGAGCGGCCTCCGGCACCGTTTCCGGACAGATCCGCTGGATCCGTTGACGAATCCCAAACCGGCGCCCTCGCCTGAGACATCCTCACAAAACGGGCCCCGGGGGGGATGCCCATAGGAGCCCAGAGCGGCCTCCGGCACCGTTTCCGGACGGATCCGCTGGATCCGGTGGATCCGGTGGATCCGCCGACGAATCCCAAACCGGCGCCCTCGCTTGAGACATCCTCACAAAACCGGCCCCGGGGGAGGTGCCCAGAGGAGCCCAGAGCGGCCTCCGGCACCGTTTCCGGACAGATCCGGTGGATCCGCCGACGAATCCCACCCCGGCGCCCTCGCTTGAGACATCCTCACAAAACCAGCCCCGGGGGAGGTGCCCAGAGGAGCCCAGAGCGGCCTCCGGCACCGTTTCCGGACAGATCCGGTGGATCCGGTGGATCCGCCGACGAATCCCAAACCGGCGCCCTCGCTTGAGACATCCTCACAAAACCGGCCCCGGGGGAGGTGCCCAGAGGAGCCCAGAGCGGCCTCCGGCACCGTTTCCGGACAGATCCGGACAGATCCGGTGGATCCGCGCCCCGGGGGAGGTGCCCAGAGGAGGAATGAGGAGGAGGAGGAGGAGGAGGAGGAGGAGGAGGAGGAGGAGGAGGAGAAGATGATGGAGCTGTGGGGTGGAGGAGGACAGACGGAGGCAAGAGAAGGATGGAGGAGGAGGAGGAGGAGGAGGAGGAGGAGGAGGAGGAGGAACCTCATCCTCGCCCTCGCCAACAGGCGCACGCACCTTCTTCTATATACAGAAACTCCCGATCAACCGCAGAGCGGCCGGCTAGTATTATTATTACTACTAGTATTACTATTATTAATATTATTAGTATTCGCATTATTATTATTTTTATTAGTATTAATATATTTGTTCTTATTCTTATTATTATTAGTAGTATGATTATTATGAGTATTATTCGTATTATTCTTATTATTCTTATTATTATTAGTTTTCTTATTATTCCTCCTCCTCTTGCTCACCCCTCCTCCTCCTCCTGCTCCTCCTCCTCCTCCTCCTCTTCCTCCTCCTCCTCCTCTTTTTTTTTCTTCTTATTATTGTTATGTTAGTATTATTCTTCTTATTATTCTTCGTATTCTTCTTCCTCCTCCTCCTCCTCCTCCCTCTCTCCTCCTCCCTCATCCTCCTCCCCCTCCTCCTCCCTCCTCCCTCCTCCTCCTCCTCCTCCTCCTCCTCCTCCTCCTCCTCCTCCTCCTCCTCCTCTCCTCCCTCCTCTCTCTCTCCCTCCTCCGCCTCCTCCTCCTCCCTCCCTCCTCCTCTGCCTCCTCCTCCACCTTCTCTCTTTCAGCCGCCTCTTCTCTCTTCCTCCTCCTCCTCCTCCTCCTCCTCCTCCCCTCCTCCTCCTCCTCCTCCTCCTCCTCCTCCTCCTCCTCCTCCTCCTCATTCCTCATCCTCATCCTCATCCTCATCCTCATCCTCCTCCCTCCTGTTCGTCCTGCTCCTCCTTTTCCTCCTCCTCTCTTCCTCCTCCTCCTCCTCTCTTCCTCCTCCTCCTCCTCCTCCTCCTCCTCCTCCTCCTCCTCCTCCTCCTCCTCTTTTTCCTCCTCATCCCCCTTCTTCCGCCTCCCCCTCCTATTCCCGAGAGGGTCCCAGGAAGTCGAGCATGGGTCAGTATAGCCTCCGACCGACCTTCAACTGGCCCCGAGACAGCTTCAAGGTGGCCCGAAATACTGAGCCTGGCTCAAGATAGCCCTCGACAGCCCCAAGCCGAGCACAGCTTCTGATAGCCTCCTAGAGGTTTCCAGAGAGCCACCGATCGTGTCTGGATGGGTTGATGGGGATACACGATGCGACGAGACGTGTATGGAAATACCCAGCGAGCGCGCGATCCCTGAGAAAAGCACGGGGAAGACCCGCACAAGAACGCGATTTCGAAATAAACGGTTACGAAAAGTCCAGCGGGCGCCGGTGCCGTGGATCGGAAGCCAAAAACCGCATCTGAAGCGCAAGACTTCCCCTTTGGAAAAAATGATACGAGCCCCAGGCGCAGCGCTTCAATTGAAAAGCGCAGTGTGCACCAAGGGGATCAACAACAACTAGGAGTTAGACTTGAAAACTGAACATCACCATCGCCACCACCATGATCAACATCACCATCAGCATCATCATCATAATCATCAGCACCATCGTCCTCATCAGCATCACCAGCATCATCACCAGCATCATCGGAAGCATCAGCAGCAACATCACCCGCAGCCGCAGAGTCACCCTTATCATCGTCGTCACCATCACCAGCATTACCAGCATCACATCAACGGACAGAATCACCAGTATAATTATGGTCACCGACGTCGTAATCCGCATCATAGCATCACCATTACCGCCACCATCACCATCATCAGCAGCAGCATCATCACCATCACCAGCACCGTCATTGGCATCCGCCTCGTCATCACCGGCAGCAGTTGCAGCATCATCATCATAGGCGTAATCCGTATTACCACCAGCAGCATCATCATCACCATCCTCATCCGCATCCGCATCAGCATCATTATCAGCACCATCATCACCATCAGCATCAGCAGCATCACCATCATCGTCATCATCACCATCATCAGTATCATCATCATCCTCATCCTCATCATAGTTAGTCCTCGTCGTCGACAGCTTTCGAACGGACTGGGAGGGAAGAGCGGGAGGAGGAGGAGGAGGAGGAAGAGGAGGAGGTGGAAGAGAGGAGGAGGCGGCTGAGAGAGGAGAAGGCGGAGGAGGAGGAAGAGGAGGTGGAACAGAAGGAGAGGAAGGATTTCGCTTGCATTTCAGTTGCTTGATCCCCCCAGCCGTGAGCACGACGGCAGAGACGACGAAAACGAGCTTGCCGCCTACCCCCAGGCCTGTCCTGGGCGACAAGACTCCTGAAGCGCACGCGGGCAAAACATCGACCACCGCGTGACCAACAGCGGCGGGGGGTTGAACCGCCGCGGGAGCTGTGAACCCTAGGGGGGGGAACAGGAGACGACAGGGGGAGGAGACGACAGGGGGAGAGGAGGAAGGGAGGGGAACAGTTGCACAGCAGCCCACCCCCCTCCCCTGGGGGAGGCACAACCCCTCCCGCCTCCGCCAGTCCTGCGACCTGGTCCCCAGTTCTACTTATACCCCGCCGGTACAGGCGGCGCCGACCACTGGCTCCGCCAGTGGGGGTTGCCCCGGCGATCCCCGAGCCGAAGAGGAGGAGGATGAAGAGTAGGAGGAGGAGGAGGAGGAGGAGGAGGAGGAGGAGGAGGAGAAGGAGGAGGAGGAGGAGGAGGGTCGGTGGAAGGTCCGAAGGAAGACGAGAAGGGGGGAGGAGATGAGGACAGGGGGAGGGGGGGAGCCAAGATATGCGATGTCCAGGATGGTTCAAGACGGGGTCCCCAGAGGCCCCGATTCTTGATGGTCCAAGGGCCCGGCGAGGGCCCTCAGAGGTCAAAAGCGGCGAAAAGCCTCCCGTCCTGATTGTTGCGACTCGGCCTGCCTCCGACCGGGAGCTGGCCCCGGAGCAAGCGGCGAGAGAGGCCACCGACCACCTAGACTCGGAGCGGGGGGGCCCTGAGGGGGCGGCCCTCACGCGAGCCGCAAGGGCTCGAGACAAGCCTGCGCGACCAGGAGGAGGAGGAGGAGGAGGAGAAGGAGGAGGAGGAGGGTCGGCACGGAGGTGATGGGGGAGGGGGGGTAAACGGAGCTAGGACAGGGGCAAAATCGGACAGGGATAAGTCGGGAATCTATGAGATCTGGCGGCTCTGGAGATCGGACTGGGACTGGACTGAGACAAATCGAGCGTCGCGGCCTTCTCAGGCAGTTCCGAAACGCTCTGGGACGACTGATCCCTGTCCCAGTCCCTTACGAGGACGGGAGGGGGGCAACTCCTGAGAAGTCCTCGTAGGAACGATGACAGGCTGTTGAGCCCGATCAAGAGAAACCGTGAAGCCAGATGAAGCCGGATGAAGCCCAGAGCAAGCCAGACTCGGCGGGACTCGGCCGGAGCAAGTGTGACGGTGACAGATCAGGCTGGCTTTCGACCGCAGGTGTACCAGCGCCGACTCTGAGTGTCACCTCCCAGGAGACGCGTCCGAAGGGATGGGAGGGGTGGACGGTGGGAAGGCACGGACCACCCAGGTCGACCCAGACGCCAGACATGATGATACCACCCGATCTGCGGAGGTGGGCTACAGCAGGAGCTCGACCACAAGAAACCTTCCACCAGAAACCAAACCCCGAGACCCCAGGATGTGCATTGTCTTTCGGTGTAGGAACGTCGCTGTTTCCACAGCGCCACCACCGAAACCCAAGAAACCCGGGGCACCCTGAAGGCAAGCCGGGTGTTCCTTGGCATGGGCTCCCACTGCACTGACGTCACCCGCACATTCCGCGGAGGTGGACTGTGTCACGACGCTCGTGCTGCTCGTGGCGGGGCGGCCTCCGGAGGCCCAACGAGCACCCGACGACGAGTCTTAAGTCGTGCCTGTCCCCCTACAGGGGGATGTTCGATTACGCTGCCGAGGAACCCCACATACTTATATTATGGCTGGAGTGATGATAGCTGAAGTGAAGCATGTAAGAATGATGTTGGTGGCCGTTGCCACCCCCTGCGCACCCCCGATTTTGTCCAGAAAGTGCCACGCCTGCTATGCCCTGGACGACCGTCGTGCATAGCGGCCGCGGTGAGGGACCACCCCCTGCGCACCCCCTATGGTGTCGAGAAAGTGCCACACCTGCTATGCCCTGGACGACCGTCGTGCATAGCGGCCGCGGTGAGGGACCAACCCCTGCGCACCCCCTATGGTGTCGAGAAAGTGCCACACCTGCTATGCCCTGGACGACCGTCTCGAATAGCGGCCGCGCTCGGGGACCACCCCCTGCGCACCCCCTATGGAATCGAGAAAGTGCCACGCCTACTATGCCCTGGACGACCGTCTCGGATAGCGGCCGCGCTCAGGGACCACCCCCTGCGCACCCCCTATGGAATCGAGAAAGTGCCACGCCTACTATGCCCTGGACGACCGTCTCGGATAGCGGCCGCGCTCGGGGACCACCCCCTGCGCACCCCCTATGGTGTCGAGAAAGTGCCACGCCTGCTCTGCCCTGGACGACCAGCGCGGATAACGGCCGCGCTCAGGGACCACCCCCTGCGCACCCCCTAAGTGTCGAGAAAGTGCCACGCCTGCTCTGCCCTGGACGACCAGCGCGGATAGGGGGACCACCCCGTGCGCACCCCCTATGGTATCGAGAAAGTGCCACGCCTGCTCTGCCCTGGATGACCAGCGCGGATAGGGGGACCACCCCGTGCGCACCCAGGACCACCCCTGCGCACCCCCTATGGTGTCGAGAAAGTGCCACGCTTGCTACGGCCTGGACGACCGGCGCGGATAGGGGGACCACCCCGTGCGCACCCCCTATGGTGTCGAGAAAGTGCCACGCCTGCAATGCCCTGGACGACCGGCGCGGATAGGGGACCACCCCCTGCGCACCCCCTACGGTGTCGAGAAAGTGTGCCCTGCGCGCTAGCCCTGCGTGCTCTGCTGTGCTGAGCTGTGCTGTGCTGTGCCAAGCTGAGCTGTGCTGTGCTGTGCTGTACTGTGCTGAACTGAGCTGAGCTGAGCTGTGCTGTGCTGTGCTGAGCTGAGCTGAGCTGTGCTGAGCTGTGCTGAGCAGTGCTGTGCTGTGCTGTGCTGTACTGTGCTGTGCTGTGCTGTGCTGGGCTGTGCTGTGCTGTGCTGAGCTGAGCTGAGCTGTGCTGAGCTATGCTGAGCAGTGCTGTGCTGTGCTGAGCTGTGCTTGCTGAGCTGAGCTGAGCTGTGCTGAGCTGAGCTGAGCTGAGCTGAGCTGTGCTGAGCTATGCTGAGCAGTGCTGTGCTGTGCTGTGCTGTGCTGTGCTGTGCTGTGCTGCGCTGCGTGAGAAGGGGAAGAGGGAGGTGAGTGAGTGAGCGCGGGTGCGACGAGGTATGGAAGAAAACCAGAACCCCACTAAGCATGTGGGGAACGAAAATTAAAAAATACCCCGAAATTCCCCAAAAATGTAAAACATATACTCAACAAATAGTCCCCAGACTATGTTTGGACTATTTTTTGCTATTCTTAAGGAATTATTTATTTGTCGTCAGAAATCTCCCTGTAGGGGACAGGCCCGACTTAAGCCGAGTCCTCGCTCCTCCGAGCTGAGGAGCCGCTGCGGGCGGCCGAGGAGCTCCTGGGCGTGCTGACGACGAGCTCGAGGGCCGCCAGGCACTGCTGGCCGCCTACGATCAGGTGGGGGCCCTTCCGCGACGCCGCCAGGTGCGTCAGAGGCCCCGCATTCACCTTCGAGGGCAAATGCCTCATCATCCTCCTCTTCTTCTTCCTCCTCCTCCTCCTCGTCCTCCTCCTCCTCCTCCTCCTCCTCCTCCTCATCATCATCATCATCATCATCATCATCATCATCATCATCATCATCATCATCATCATCATCAGCATCGTCATCATCATCAGCATCATCATCATCATCATCATCATCATCATCATCCACCACCACACCACCACCACCACCATCATCATCATCATCATCATCACATCATCATCACATCATCATCATCAGCATCAGCATCAGCATCATCATCAGCATCAGCATCATCATCATCATCATCATCATCATCATCATCATCATCAGCATCAGCATC